TGAATATTTAAAGATGTACATTATACTGTACAAAAGTAATACAAGAGTAATATATTTCTGTTACATGTTAAACTGTACTTTTATTTTGACAGGTTGCCATGAAGTTTCTGTGTGTATACAGTATGATGATGCTAGTTTTCTCAAATGAAATGGTAAAATTCTCGCAAAGTGACTCTCACAGCAGCTCTGGAGATTAAGTTTGTGTTCATGCCGTCATACAGTGAGACGCAAAGGCCCGAAAACCACCGCGAGCGTCACACGTGCTTCAGTATTTGTGTAGTAAACAAAACCGCGTTTCCGCCATTCATAAATACAGAGGCAAGCGGAACATGCAGGACTCATATTTAAACTGTCTTTTCTTCATAAATAAAAAGGAAATTCTTGTTTTAATTTTTCTGAAAATCAAGTGAAGGCATTAAACATTTATTTTAAATCAAAGGAAAACTAAATCCTTTTATTTTTTTTGGCAAACAAACTAAGGTTTACTTTTGAAATTAATGCATGGAAGAAGAATTGTGTGAATATTCCTTTAAAACATTTTTTAATAGGCTAATAATTGTATTATTTTTTTCTACAATTAAGTGATTAATCTGGTTGTAATATTTCTTTTTATCATTTAATTGTTTTATTTAAATTTGATAGAAAATTGAATATATGGCCCTAGAAATGTAACCACACTTCAGAACATTTCGGCTTGCCCTGTGTGTTGTTTGAACGAGTTGCAGGTGTGACCTCACGTCACAGGGTCTCTCTTTCTCTCTCTGTAGCGTATGCGCCCAGATGCGTTATCAGGTACTGAAATTTGGCACCGATTGATTTAACGTGACTCGGTACTCAGTAGTACTGACGCAATTCGGTCGGTACCCTTAAAAGTACCGAGTTCGGTACCCAACCCTATTTACCACATTCTTCATTCTTTCAAGCAGACATATTTATTTCTATAAATAAATTTAGATTAATCTTTATTAGGGCTACTAAAGTGATTCAGTCAAGAGCAGTGAGTGATTTTCTGTCTTTCTTTTGTTGCTTGATTAACATCAATGCCACAGACAATAGCAACTAAATTAGGCTGCTGTCCCTTTAAAACCGGATACACGGATGCAATGTACTTATACATGTCCAATATTCTCCCAACTGTTTATGTTCACATAAGACATAACCGAGTGTGTTTACGTGAATACTCGTCAAAACAGACAATTCGACATCATTTTGTGTGTATTTCTCCGTTCATGAGACGCGAAAGAGTACTCGTGTGCTGTGTGAGAGGCGCTGCTTCGGTGTGTGCGCACCGAAAACCGGACCGAATTGAGTTCTCTTTTGCGTCGTCAGATTTATCCTTATGTCTGCTCTTCTCTTACTCCCAGATATTGAAATTTTTGTACGTTTTATGAGACGTGCAGCAAGTGTATGTTGTTAGCTTATGTCCCGCCGGTTCATATGTACGTATCTAACCTTCGAAACACGCAGCAGATTCGTTCTGAATGAATCTCTTCCCAAATCGTCCCTCCCTAACATTTTCGTCTTGTTTTTATTCGTTGACGAAAATGTCAATAGATTTTCGTCATAGTTTCTGTCATTCAAAACGAGTTTTAGTTCGTCATCGTCTCACTTTCGTCGGTGAAAAAAATGCCGTTGACGAAAATTATTCGTCAACGAAATTAACACTGATTACCCCATGATTTACTCACCCTCAAGGCAGGTGTATATGACTTTCTTCTTTCAGACGAATTCAATCAGAGTAATATTTAAAAAAATGTCCTGGCTCCTCCAAGCTTTATAATGGCAGTGACTATTTTTCAATAGTCGAAAAGAAGTCCAATAAAGTGCATCCATCATCATAAAAAGTATCCCACACGGCTCCGGGGGGTAAATAAAGGCCTCCTGGAGCGAATCAATGTGTTTTTGTAAGAAAAATATCCATATTTAAAACTTTATAAACAGTAATCTCTATCTTCCGCTAACTGTCGTACGAGCGTTCACAATAGAACACCATTCCGGCAGATGACGTAGGACGTAGGTTTAGCGTGAGAAGTGACAAACGTAGTAGCATGGGGAGAGAGGAAATCATGGGGTAATTTTCATTTTTGGGTGAACTATCCCTTTAATGCAGTGATCTCAGTCTCGGACACACAAAGAAGCCTAAAATTGCCAGCTGTAATCATATTGTTTGGTTCATATTGTTTGGTTCATATGCAATTTTCATGAGTCAGGGTGCACAGGTGATTATTATTGCCCTGGGAAAAAAAGTTTCCAAGGCTGCAATAAATGCTTACAAGGAAGAATCGCTGGATTTGCCAGGTTCATGGTTTATTGTAAGGTAAACTGGGAATTTACATTGATATTTACCTTTGAATAACTGCTTGTTAAAATTTGAAATGTAGTTTACACTAAAGAAATTAATAAGTTTTATTTAGCAAGGATGATTAAATCAAAAGTGATAAAGACTATTACATTATTACAAAAGATTTCTTTCAAGTAAATGCTGTTCTTTAGAACTTCCTGTTCATCAAAGATTTTTTTTACACAATATAAAATAATACAATAAAGAGAAAATACAGTGCAGTACATTACAGTCCAAATACAGTGCAGGCAGAGGCATAAAAGCCAGTAAGGGCTTTTTTGAAGCCTCCAACTAAAAAAAAAAATATATATATATATATATATGTATATATATGTATATATATATATATATATATATGTATATGAAATGATAAAAAATCATACAACAATATATATAAATGTATATGAACTGTCAAATTATTAACATATATTTAAAAAAATGCATATATTAAAAAAAGATAACATAGCACTAGGTGTGGGCGATATGGAGAAAAAAAATCATGCTTTTTTTCAGGAAAATCACGATACACAATTTTGTCACAATTCATTGTCATGTTGGATTTACTATTTTGCAAGTTGTCTGAGCATTACAGCCAAACTACTTTCCCTATTTAAAAAAAAAAAAGCCTTACAAAGAATGGCAGGCATTTAGGCCAAAGTGGGTGAAGATACAATTTTTTGTCATTATTTTGTCTTTGTTATTAAAAAATAAGAACAAAGATAGACATTACAAATCCACATAATATACAAATAAAACAAACAGTGCTTTATTTTTGAGGTATAGTAGGTGTATTTAGCAGTAACATTCAAGAAATTGAATGAACAAATATAAAAATAAAACACTATATGCACCTCACTGTATAAATTATACATTGATTCTTATTAAAGCAACTGTATTAAAGTTCTTCAGTCAAGAGCAGTGAGTGATTTTTCTCTATGTTTTGTTGTTTTATTAACATTAAAGGAATAGTTCACCCAAAAATGAAAATTGTCATCATTTACTCACTCTCAAGTTGTTTTAAACCTCAGTGAGTTTCTCTCTTCTGTTGAACATAAGTTGCTTTGAAGAATGTGGGTAACCAAATAGTTGCTGGTCCCCAGGGACTTCCATGGGGACCAACAACGGTTTGGTTACCCCCATTCTTCAAAATATCTTCTTTTGTGTTCAGCACAAGAAAGATATTATTACAGGTTTGGTACAACATGAGAGAAAATAAATAAAGACAGAATATAAATTTTCGGTGAACTATCCCTTTAATGACAAGCGGCAGCATGTTTAGTACAACTAGTCTGCTGTACCTTTAAGAGCTACACGCATCTAATATATAGACACGCATCCGTTTTTTTTCTTAACTTTCATTTCACTTTAGACATAACCAACTGATTATATGTAAACCTTGTGCGTTTTTGAGAGTATTAGCACAATCAGACGCAAAAGATAACTCAGTCCAGTAATCAGGCGCTGTATGACAGGCTTTTTAGTGTGCGTGCGCTTCAGGTGTACACGCTCAGAAAAAGCGCATACCAGAACAGCACACGTATGAAATGTTTAACCAGCAAGGCTTTAAAGTACATTCAAATAATGTACTTTTGTGATTGTGAATAAGTGCAGTGTCCCGTGAGTGTAACTGTATCGCGTAGTTAACATTTGATGTGAATGTATGTCGCGTTGTACAGTATATTGAGAGACGGAGGCGCCAGAACTGCAACTGATAGAATCTGCACTGTAGCACGATACTAAAATATTTCTTCAAAAGCAGATCGTGGAGACGTTTTAATCAAAATCATTATATAGCACACCCCTACAAAGCACCAAAAACACTTAATAAGATACATGAAATACATAAACATCAAGAGAAAAAGAAACAAGATTATAAGGAGAAAATAAAATGTTTTTTTTTTTACCTAAAATAGTTTATAGCCTGAATTTATTTATATATTTTTTTTGCAGTGAACCTGTTAATTTACTATAAAGTAAGTCTTAAGTTGCTCTGGAATATTCCCTTCACTTGAATATATCTTACAAATGAAAACAGAAAATTATTAATATCATAAATAGTAAGAATCTGGAGTTTCTGAAATAAAGGAGCAGAGGAAACATATGTATTTGATCGGGTTCCTAACAAAACATTTCTAAAGAACAACATTTTTTTAAGAGTAGTAAAATCACAAAATATGAATCAGCTCTACTGTTTTTAACATTTGATAATAATAGGAAAAGTTTGTTGAGCACCAAAGTGATTTCTGAAGAATCATGTTTCATTGAAGATTGGAGTAATGGTTGCTGAAAATTTGGCTTTGCCATCAGAGGATTAAATAGCATTTTAAAATATATGACAATAGAAAACAGTTGTTTTAAACTGTAGTAATATTTCAAAATATTACTGTTTTTAATGTATTTTTGATCAAATAAATGAAGCCTTGGTAAGAGGCTATGAAAGACATTAAAAAGTTGAATGTGTATGCTTGTTCTTCCTACACAATTGGCACTTTTCCACTGCATGGTACGGCACGGTACGGCTCTTTTCATGTTGTAGACCTGCTGTTCTGCTGTCAGGTGTCCAGTGTCAATGAATGGTTTTAAGAGCCAGTTCTGCAAGGGATAGGCAGAGTCTCCTAGGATGTAGTAGCCAGCAGTCACCCCACCTATGTTTCTGGTGTTAGCTGGTATGTGGTTTCCACGGCTTGCCAACTCCCAGTGTTGACAGTCTCAAAACCCGAGCATCATGCAGGCTTCCAGGCAGTCCTGTGAAAACATTCCAGAAAAGTCCCTTTCCATCCACAACACCTTGAAGGATGATGGAGTGCCAGCCTTTACGGTTGAAATAGTCACAGTGATATTCCTCTGGTGCTATGATGGGGATGTGTGATCCATCAATAGCACCAATACAGTGTGGGAGTCCCCACCTGTTCTCAATGTAGGCAGCCATTTCTTTAAACTTTTCCTGATCTGGATAACGAATTTGCTCTGGTACCAACAGGGTTTCTGCTGCTGCACAGAACTCCTGAACACACCGACACACAGTTGTTATGCTTACACCAAAAAGATGTCCAACACTTCTGTACTCAGCGCCGGTTGCAAGCTTCCACAGTGCGATGGCTACTCTTTTCTTTAGAGGTACACACACGCGGAAGTTTGTGTCCTGTCTCTCCATCGCTGGACGCAGTTTGTTGCATAAGTGGATAAATGTTTCTTCGGACATTCTAAAGTTCTCCAGCCACTGAGTGTCTGTAAAACCGGGAACAATCACATCCCACCACTCTGAAGCTCGGTTAAATGTCCAAACAGATGGTCTGTTGCGGCGACTTTTTTGCGAAATGTGGAAGCTCTGTAATACACAGAATACGCATTTTAATATGTTATACTGGCAGTTAAGTTCATTATTTGCTTTGCGACAGAGATAAAAGTTAGCTAGTGATGTGCTTTTAGATGCTTACCCTTGCGCGCCGTCGAGCAAACCAAGTGTTGTCGTCGTCTGCGTGTTGTTGTAAGAGTTCCCGAACTCTCTTGTATTTTTTAGCTGTGTTTCGTTTGGCTGCCATCAGCCTCTTTTGAAACAAACTCCTTCGTCTTGCAGTTAAAAACATCCACATGCCGAGAATGAAGAACACCATTCCATCGATATGCTCCATTGTTGTGTGTTTGTTTGTGGCGCGTTTACGATGATGTCACGGCAGTAGAGGCGGCGCAACTATAACGACATGTGAATAATCCCCCCCACTCTAAAGCGGTACTGAACTGCAGTGGAAACGCAAACCGAGCCAAGCCGTTCTGTGCCGTACCGTACTGAGCCGTGCCGCGCCGAGTCGTACCACGCAGTGGAAAAGCACCAAATGTTAGCGTTTATCAGCTTTATTGAGTGCACTGTCATTCTCTCTTATTATTGGCTGTGGTTGTGTATTTTTCTTCCCTGAACTGTAGCCAAGACACTTTGGTTGAGATTAATGTCCTCTGGTCAGGCTATTGGCACAACACTTAGTGTAGTGTGTATGACCCCTGAGATGCATGGGGTAGTCATATCTCATAAAACCCCGGCAACAGGTGGCAGGTCTCTATGTTTCACCTGGTATACTGGGCTGATGCGTTGCATTATTGATGGCCTTCTTAGTGATAATGGCTGTCTGAAGTTTAAACCAGCATCTCTGTTAATGTTCCGGATTTCGTACGGCTTACTAATAGAATGAGATTCTTCTGGAGCTGCGATTTTTCTCTTTTACCTGCAGGATCAAACGCACACTGAAGCTAACATCACAGAGTCTGTCACAGGCTGTTTAGAGAACCATTTACTCTGCTAAAGTTCTGGAGCAGAGGGCCTTCAGCGTCAAAGTACAAAGATGAGCGGTGTTTCTGTTCTTTTGTCAGTGAGAGAGTATCTGAGACCTCTCCCCATGTTTACTCGTTGAAACAACACTCCAGCATGATGAAGATCGGTTTTCCTTTTGAGACAAAAGTACTGAGATAATGCCATTTTTGTGATTTAAATGGAATTGGTTTTGTTTGAAATGTGGATTAATTTATAAATACATTTTTATAAGGTTTTTTTCTAATTTCTATAAATGAAGACACAAACAATTATCTTCATGTTCAAATTAATTAAAGGGGTCATATGATGCAATTTCACGGACTTGTTTCAAGGACTTGTCCACGCCCTTCTAAAACGCCTCGTTTAAACACGCTCCCACATGTCTACGTCAGTGTTTGGGAAGATTTGCATAACACCGCCCAAATGTTCATGCAAAGAAAGGGGGCGTAACTTTTATTCTCGCTGTAGTATTGTTGTTGCCGCCGCCACCACCATGTTGTGGAGATGTTGTGTGTTTCGTTGTGAAAGCGAAACTACTTTGTTTGGCCTTCCAAGAGGACGATATCCTCTTCGTCATG